GGAAAAATAATTTAGTCATGAACAGCTTAGTGCGCCGTGTCACATAGCTAGGCTCGGTTTTGCCAGGTTTGACAGTTTGCTTTATTTTCACAGATATAATCTTTTATCAGTCTTTGCATCAGCCACTTCTTAGTGCATTCTGCCTGTTTCTTGTTCAATTATACTGAACTCGCAAAATATATTTTGGATCTTGCACAGTCAGGCAAACCGTATCTGAAATTATGGTTATTATTAACCACCTAACTTTCCGTATGTATTTTTGGAAAGGAGGTGGGTACATGGCTGTTTGTGCACGGGCTGAGGGAGAGACATCTGTTGTTGTGCCTGAGGGACCAGAGCAGTTTGCAAGCAATCTATTACTAAATGATAGACACTGGTGTTCCTTGCGGTGGCCTGTTTGTCCCACTAAAGATTGGGTTTAAGGATATGCTTTATGCAGATCCTTATTTTAGGCAGCCCCTGTAGACCAAGGAAGGATAACTCCCGGTTGCTAGCCAGCCCTGGCACATGTGAACTGATGCTTGTTTACAAGCCAGTATAGCTGTTTTGCTCAAAGTTTCTTGAGAGGATGTACCAGAAGGGTACAAGTGGTTAAATTAACCCTTTGCTATGTGGGTCATGTAGTCCAACCATTTCTGGACCTGAAAAGAAGGCAGTGTTGAAAGCAAACCATCTGTTGTAGTTGGAAGGAGAAATAGATATGCTTTTGAGTTTAACAGCTCCTGCTCAGGTGTGGAGAAAAAAAGAGGAATGGTTAATAGTTTCTCCACACTTCACAGAGATGGACTGCCATACTTTGATTTCTTGAAGCCTTATCATGACCTGTTTTGTGAAAAGATTTCATTAAAAATTTTTTAAAGCAGTTACTGCAGTACTTAGATGCTTGTGTTAATCAATAGAATCGGAAGAAAAATAACTTAATATTTGAAAAATATATAGATCCATTCAGAGAAGACAGAATACAGATGCAAGACAGAGAAGACAGAATACATATGCAAGAATGCTTTTGCACTTTTCACAACTTGACTGCGGCTCGTTTGTAGGAGTAAACCTCAACAGGCTTCTGAAATGAAACAATGGCTGCATGGTCTGGTCCAGGTGTTGCCACTAGTGAGATAACTGAAAGGGAGGGCACATCGTGGAGCACGGTTATAAAAAACAGATTTTTTTATCCAGGAAATCTTCTTGGGGATGCCATTAGGTCCCAAATACTCACAGGTTATTCAAGGTGACTGCCTGTGTTACAGAAAATATTTGGCCACGAGCAGTAGGGCAGCTGGTGCTGGAGATGCAGCCGCAGCAGCAGGATGGGTTGGGGATGGAGCTGGGAATGGCGGTGGGATTGGGGATGGGATAGGGTTGGCATTGGGGATGGGATAGGGTTGGGGTTGGGGATGGGATAGGGTTGGCATTGGGGATGGAATAGGGTTGGCGTTGGGGATGGGATAGGGTTGGCGTTGGGGATGGGATAGGGTTGGCGTTGGGGATGGGATAGGGTTGGGAATGGGATAGGGTTGGGAATGGGATAGGGTTGGCGTTGGGGATGGGATAGGGTTGGGGATGGGATAGGGAATGGGATAGGG